GAAAAGTCAAAATAAGATTGTTTTACTCATTACGCTTTTTATGCAACATTAATTACGTTTAATTCATCTTGATGATTACCCAGTATAATATTGTTTCGTTTTCCCCTATGACATTTCATTCTGTATAACGAACGATATTCTTGTATGAAGTATCTTTCATATATGCAGTTTATTCTGATTATTAATCAAAAATTGGTGTACAAACCGACTGGACTTGTCGTGATTGCTCTTGCTTCTGGCTGCTTGCGGAATATATTTCCCCACTCGAACTTGGACTTCTCTCTCTAGTTAGCGGGGCTGAGATGCAACAGAATAGCTAGCTTATTGGTCCTTGGTCAGAGAATCTTGTTCCGTTTGCAGACTAGATGAACTTGTGATCGCTTCAAACATATCAAGAGGTTAAGCATTTGCGCGCAAGACCAATAGATTCTGGGTTCGAATCTTTCGGAGTGGGATCGTGGACGCGCACTACTGAGGAGTCCCATAATGGAACGTGTTGTGGATGCAGAGGAATAGACCAATAATTATCATGTTAAGTCCAATGGTGTCTTTAGATGGACTTTAGATGGACATTTCCTATTGGTCGATATCTGTTCACTTGTTGAATATTGTACAAAATGTTGTTTTCTATTTTTGTGGTACGATGTGGTATGCTTGATTGGTATATAAACAAAGTATGTTTGAAATATAATGATTCATATCTCAGAGGTTGTGACTTGTGTTCTGGACTCAACTGGCTGGGCTAGACAGGGGAGTGGGACCAATCGAGACTCTAGGCCGTCCGTACGTGTTTACGTGTCATTGGATCGATCGATAAATACACTGCTCTCTAATTTTCCAGTCAAGTACACAACAATTAGCACAGGATAAAAATCGACCGCAACCTAAAGCCATAACAACGAAACTGCCATCCAGTGCTTCCAGGTTTTCTGTGGTTGTCTAGCTTCAATAGACCCGTGAATTCAACTATTAAATTATTAAATTCTCCACAAAAGCCCCTACTGAAAATATTAACAATTTTTCAGGATGTTCGTTTTGGTGAGACTTTACGACGAATAGTAAGTAACATGGTTAGGTATTCATTTGACAGATACAAATTAAGGTACGGTGAAAGGGGGGTATAATAGTAATAATAATACTACTAAACAATAAGGAAATTATGACTAAAGCGAAAAAATAAACGTTTGTTACCTAATTTAACTTTTTGTATTTCCTGGCTTATCAATACATATATATATATCAGGGAGTTAATTCTTCTTGATGGGGTTTTGTTCTCTGAGCTGGATGGTTTAGTCGTGGAGCTTTCATCATTCTTCTGAATGACATCATCAGCACAAACTTTAGATAGAAGTCACCATCTCACCACCATCTCAGTTAATACTTCAATTCACACGTTATAGACTGATGCGCTTTATTGAATTTTAAAATGCATAGTAACTAAATGATATTTCCTGTTTTATAATAATGTAGTTAAGATAAATCTCAACAATATTATAGAGAATAATGCAGGTAAAATCAACTTGGCCCAAATGCCTTTTCATCTTACAGTAATATTGATATGCACATCTTATTACGTAATCTAATGATTTTCTATGATTGTCATTTCAGTGTCTATATTTTCTTCTAAGCATTGATCTGTTACCCATCATGTAACATTGATTGAAGCCTTTTACATATCACAACTAGTACACTTGTCATTACATTAACAATTTGTACTTTCCAGTTATTATGTTTAGTTATGTAATCTATTCCATTTTTTACACTTAGTTCCCTTTATTATCTTAAAGAGAGCATGGACGAAGATTGGTGCAGAATAATAAATGGATTCATTTTATTTCGTTAGGTTCTCATCAGCTGTTTACAACCTAAAATATTTGAAAATCAACGTTATTACAGATATTGACATACTTATACATCAGAGGGCGATGAAGGATGAATATATGTAACATAATGTGGTAAAGATTTCGTTAGAGTTAATGAGGTCATAACATTTTTGTTTCGAATATATAGAGTTTGGGAGGGAAGGTTCCAGAAAATTGAAATAGTGATTAGAAATCATGGAATTAAAACACAGTAGACGGTTATGTAATGAAGTAACTGAAGATAGATTAATGTTAATAAAGAGAGATCTGAATTGAAATTGGTCAGTTATGAATGATGTAATTATAAAATTCAGAAAGAGTTGGAATGACGTAATAAATAAAAGGGGGAGGGGTTAATGTCACCAGGGCAAAGAAAGATTTATTACTGTCTCTTTTTGTATACATAGATCTGGTTTTAAACGTTTGATTGCTATCGCTTCGGCAAATTTTAAAAGGTATGAAAATGATTGTTTCTTGATCACCTTGAAGGACTTCAATATATCGACTTCGTGTCCTGTGTCAAGGAAATGTCTTGCGATGGCGCTGCTGAATGCTTTTACTCCGTTTGATCTCAAACATATCATCCTTCATCACCCTCTGATGTTTAAGTATGTCAAAATCTATAATAACGTTGAATTTCAAATAGTTTAGGTTGTAAACAGCTGATGAGCACCCAACGAAATAAAATGAATTCATATTATTCTGCGCCAACCTTTGTTCTTATTTCATTTTTATTCACTGTTATGATGTCTCTTAATAATATGTTCTGAAACAAAATTAATGACAATATTGTGGAATGTGTGTTACTTAGATCAACATAAGTAGTATACAATGCTAGTTGGGAATAGAATGTCTGCCATCAGAATGTCAATAAGATCGAGAAGGAAAGAATGGAAACATAAAGTAATTGATATGCAAAAAAAATGAACGAACAATAAAGTCTGAGACAATGAATGGACATTTTGCAAATAGTTCTCAGATTTTATTTGATATGTTGTGTAATTTTATGTTCTGATACAGTCGACTAGTCCCTGTTTGTTTTCTCGTTCACTGATGAATGACATTCATGGGAAAAAGTATTGTAGTTAAATGTAGGTAAAATATGGTCAATGAACGGTAATAACGCTATAAATCTATTGTGAATATTTCAACTTGAATGAGAAATTCATGAGATTTATGTTTATTCCTGTTTTAAAAAAAGTCGTTTGTTCAAGTCATTCAATTGATTTATGTGATTCATAAAAAAAGGAAAACACACTTCAGTATGTTCTGCTTCTTTTAGATTACGTTTCCTTGTAGTTAACTAATTCATTAGTTATACAAATGTTCATTATATACATAGATTGTTTTTTTTCTGAATTATGTTACTGTTTCAGAACCATATCTTAATTAGTAGTTGAAGTAAGTCTGAGATATCCTACTTCTTATAAGTATATTCAAATAGTTGAGATCATGAGTCAATTGAAGCTAGACAATCAGGGAAAACCAGACATTCTATTCCTGACAAGCATTATATGCTACTTATATAGAGACAAGTAGTACATACCACAAGAGAACAAAATTCCATTGATAACTTTGATATTTTTTAGCAATATTACATAGTTGACGTTGTCAACTATTGATATTCTATTTAACTTTCTATTAATCTGAAACATCATTTCGAATTAATTGTAATCACCTCATCTTTATTTAAGTAATATTAGTATTTCGACAGTTGAGGTTATGAGTCAATTGAAGCTAGACAACTACACCGATTTTAATCTTCATTTGGTCCTAGTTATTAGGTGGATACTCTCAATATCATTGTAGCATCCCTCAAAGGTCGTCAAAAAATTATAGTCTCACTGAATGAACATTATTCAGGTGTCGTTTCCTAAACTTCTATCATCGAACTGCGGATCAGTCAATATTTATCCTCAAGATCAATCAAGGAATAGGCAAAGGTAACTTGTTGAAATACTTTCTTCTGAGAATTATATTTTGTACGAAACATCTAATATTGAATAAGGCCATTCATCATAATAATCATAATACACTTAAGAATCATATGCCAATAAGAGACTGATCAATTTCAGTCCAAAAACATCAATGGGAAGATTCAAGTAAAACAATATCAAGTAAATTAAATGATGAATAGTTTAGTATAGTATAGTACAGATTTCTTTCCTAGAGTTTCATCCTAATTGCCTTCAATTAGTGAAGCCGTTATAGAAAATTTTGGAGAAATAGCACAAAGATCCCAAAATCTCCCCAAACTTTAGAGAAACTTATTGAACTTTGGTGAAAACCCTAAAATTCCCCAAAATTGAGAGATTGGGTATTATACAAATAACAAAATAGTAAAAGAACAGACTATTTGTACAATGATATCATTTAATCAGAAAGAGTTTTGCGAAAACTATAGTAATTTCAGTAGTTGAAATCATGAGTCATTTGAACTTAAGGAGTCACACAATAAAACAAAACAATCTTCCAGTACTTCGACGTTTTCCATAATAGTCTACCTTTAATTACTCATAATCTCTAAGACTGAGATATCAATCTATTTATAATATAACATTTTTGGTTGAGATCATGAGTCATTTGAAGCTAGACAACCATGGAAAACCTCAAAGCACTCGACGGACATTTAGTCCTATTCTAAGACTCCTCAGTAGTGCACATTCACGATCTCACCTCGCAAGATTCCAACTCAAGATCTATCAGTCTCGTGTGCGAGCGCATAACCACTAAAACACTGAGTCGGCCGTCATCCAATGGTGCTAATGTCTAACTTCAATTAACCCACGAAATTGAGCGACACATTCACTATTGTCATCAATGAGTTACTATCTCACAACAGACCTGGTTGGACTCCACTAATCACTGCTTCTTATTAGAACTTCAGTATATACCTCTTGAATCTAGTCACTAGTGAGTATATGTTGATTCATATCAAAAGGGTTTTATGGATACATAACTATTAAATAGGAGATAGATATGAGAAAGATGAACAAGAATTGGATGGAACTAGAAAATAAGGCTCAGTCTAGAGTGGGTTGGAGAATGCTGGTGGGCGACCTATGCTCCATTAGGAATAACAGGCGTAAGTAAGTATCTATTAAATAGTATATTGTTTAAATAAATCTCTAAACTTACTTGTGGTAAATATGTAAATATATATAACAAAATAATAGTAAGTAACATATATGTAGTTTGATTTGCACTACGTCCACCAGAATACGTTTCAGGATGTGAACTGGATTTGTGTTTTGAACGTTGTACTGTCATTGATTTATCATTATCCTCATTATTATTATCATTATCATTATTATTATTATTATGAATAAAACTTTCAACCCGTGTAGTTTCTATTGTCATTTGAAAATTTTTACAATGATGATATCTTCTTAATATACGATAACGTTTCTCTGATTCTCTTATGGATAATATTAATGCTGTACTTACTGTTGTCATAATTAATATTGGTAATGCTTTAACAAGTATAGCTGAATTCCAAAATAATATTATTCTTAAATTTATATTAGTTGTATAATCAACTTCATATAATATCATTGTATCTGATTGATTATTGATTATATTATTAGTATTATTATTATAATTAGAATGATTGAATCTGATTGTATCTGATTGATTATTGATTATATTTTGATAATTCATCAATAATAAATGATCATTTGTTTTAATACGTACTTGATGTGCAATCATAAATGGTATAGTTAATAATATAGAACTAATTAATACTATTATAATAACAATCCATGCTTTAAACATATTACAATAAATAGCAGCTCGAACACCAGTTTTAATATAAATTAAACGAAATATAGCTACAGCAACTATAATCCATGCAGAGAATGTATGAAATAAATTTTGTAATACAATATTAATTAATAATAATTGAGCATATGATTTAGACATACCAATGATTAATCTTGGTGTCATTAAATAAAAATAATCAAATATAATATAAATAAACATCACAAAACCATCACTAACAGCTAATACGGTTAATAATAAATTCGTTGGATTACGTAAACGTGTTTGACATAATACAATTACATTTAATGTATTAGCTATAACACCAATTGGACATAATATTAAACATAAATAAACATGTATACGTTGATAATATTGATGAAATAATTCTAACCATTGATAATGATCAGTACATGAATAAGTATAATTATCATATTGATGAGGACTACTGATATTCATATAAGTAGTTTTAGTAGTTAGATCATTATTTCTAAGTAATGATAATGAAAAATTATTCATCTTTTAATATAAATAAATAGGTTAATAATGAAATATCATTTATATACAAGTGAAATATATATCCACTTTAACCGTGAATATATATATATATATATATATATATATATATATATATATAGTGATAATGATTTATTAAATAATGAAATAAGTGTAATATGATTGGTTAATAATGAATAACCAATGAGAATAGAAAATGAATTAGCTTTCACAGTTATTTAAGTAGTATAAATAGTTAAGAAAGAAAAATAAAATAAAAACGAGAAAAAGAAAAAAGAAGGAAAAGAACACAATTTTTACACATGAGATCACTTATCATTTAATCGAATAATAATACGGTGCCAAAAATAATAAATTTTTTTCTAAAAAAAGAGAAGAGGAAAGAAAAAAAGAAAAATATGTATCTTAGTGATGCAAAAATAAAGTGAGGTCAAGTGAAAAACTTTTAAAAATAAATAAATCTGAGAGCAAAAAAAGAAGCAAAAAAAAATGAATGAGAATTAGTTGAATAATTAGAGAAGGTTCTATGTGAAAGTATCATCTGACAATATGTGAAAAGTGATAATAGGAAGATCAGTTCTTGTTGAAGTTGTCATAATTCATTCAGATTAAGGTAAACAATAAGATTACGATTCATATTGCAGAGGTTGAGATTGATGTTCTGGACTTCATTGGCTTGGCTAGGTGGAAAGCAGGATTAATCGGTATTCTAGAGTGCTATTATTGATTCGATCGATAAGTCACTGTTCCCTAATTGGCAGCATATATATATATAAACACCATTAGAACCAGTATGGCAAACATGAAGCCGTAATCTCTAAACTTTTATTCGTCATAGACAAAGAAAGGAAGTGAACTTAATTTGCTTAAATACATTTATTGAATATGTCACGTAATGTTGTGTACAGACCGTACCCGCCCTCCCCTCCCTCTCCCTCTTCCTCTCTCTCTCTCTCTCTCTCTCTCTCTCTATATATATATATATATATATATATATATATATATATAAAGAAAATAAATTTTGTAATTTAATTAAAGGCTAGATATTAGTCCTCCAACGTATAAATTGTAACATATATTTTGAGTTTATGAAAGATCAAACTAATATGAAAGCTATATTTGTGGATTATAAGCAAAGATGGACATTGCCTAGCAGTCAAATATGACGACGCGCGTTTCCTTCAATTCGAGACTCAACAGTTAGATGTACCTGTATTTCAGAGTTGATGTACAATCTCGGACTCTAACTCAGTACTGTTCGCTTAAAACGACATCGCGTTATCTACTTAACTAATTACTCCTGATAGCGACTTACTTGTGCAATGAGGAGAAGTTTAAATTCATGTGGTATTATTTACTTGAATCTTCCCATTGATGTTTAGAACTGTAATTGATCAGCCTTTTATTGACATAATTACGTCCTGTGTGGGCTGCCTCAATATTGCCTTAAGTCATAAGCATAACAAGCAAACATGAATAGTGACTAGCAATGGAATACAGAATTCAGTAGCTAAGTAGACGACGCGATGACGTTTGAAGTGGACGGTGCTGGGTTCGAGTCCCAGGGCGAACATCAAGTCTGAGATGCATGTACATCCAACTGATGAGTTCCCAATAGGAAGAAATGCGCGTCCTGAATTCCACTGCTAGCCAGTATTCATCTTTGCTTATAATACTTGTGATATAGAACAATATCGAAGCAATCCGTACACTATGCACATATGACAATAAGAGACGAATCAATCTCAGTTCTAAGCATCAATGTGAAGATTTTAGTAAGTAATACTAGGTGAATTTTTACTGTGGAATGACCGAAATTACAAAAATTTAGAGGCATAAAACCTATGGTATATTGTATTCTATACTAACACCAATATTATTACTACTATCATTTTGGTATTTATTGTAGAAATTGTAATGTGATATACTGATTTTATTGATATGCATGAGTGTCATTTTCTTCATTGCTAGTGGACTGATTGATCGATAAGCTAATAAACCAAAATATGAACATGCATATGAGAGTACATACCGTAGTGTCCAGTACTATGTAAAACGTACATGGATTATTCTAACTTCCGTACAGACCAATTTATTCATTCTTTTCAAGTCACATTTTGACCTATTCAGTTATTCGCCTACTAACCTTAATTGTTTTGATATGAGTATATGTGTGTAATGCTTACCTTATTCATTACGTGTCTCTAAGTTATTTTTATCTGACCATGAACATCAAGTCATGATCGATCAAATCGAGTTGACTCACTCGTCTACTCTATTTCGTTTCGCTTCCTACCTTTTCACTCTGAATGTCCGTCTTAATAAACAAGTGCTTGAAATAAATTTCATCCAATTCAATCCTTAATTGGCTTCTTATTACTGCTATCATACAAATGAGGTTAATCTACGTAATAGATAAAGTTAAAATGCAATACTTATGTGCATAACATTTTGACTGATCAAACTGGAGTCAGATGCAGAGTCACAAAAATAGTCACAAATGAGTACAAATATACTTGGTGGTTAAATGTTCGAGCACGAAAGTGATAGGTCCTGGGTTCGAATCTCGGGAGGCGAAATCGTAGATGAGCACTGATGAGAAGTCTCATACTAAGACAAAACGGTCATCCAATACTTCGAGGTTTTCCATGGTGATCTAGCTTCAACTGACTCATGAATCCAACAATTGAATATTCTTTATTTGTATCTATAAAGATATGGTATTGTGCAAAACTATCTTTATAATCAAAATAGAATAACATTAAAACTAGGGTTTACATATTTATTATTTATAACACCTCCCCTTCCCCTATATCAGTGAACAGTTTTTCACACCTTTATTATTTATACTCCTCATATCCGTAGTTCATTTACAATCGTTGTTTTAACATTTATCTGGAAATCAATAATTTGTGTAGTGATTCACTTGTTAATAACAATAAGCTTTAATATTCACTTTATCACTAGTTTAAATTCAAATTCTAACATGGTTACATCTATAGTTTACATATTTCTCAAAATATATGAAGATACGAATGAAGAAGAAAGTGTTCAATCTTTAAAATGAAAACCTGTAGTTTACAATGTTGAAATAACTTGCACATTTTACTCGGATGAATACAATCCGAATATTACAAATATATATATATATATATAGTTTCTTGCCTCTAGATAACCCTCGTGCTATTGATAGCAGAAACCAGACAAGTAGTGAATAGATCTTTATTTTTTCATCTTCGCGCAGTGACAGTGTTGGAAGTAGCATGGGAGAGCTTGTATCCATCCTTGTTTTAGGACTGCTTCACCCACTGTGTTATCACCCATCAAGACTTGAAGGTGACGTAAAAACTGTGATGGCGACCTATCACCTAGTGTTTCTGCTTGAAAAAGCCGTTGGATTATTTGACTGCCTGATAATGATAAACGGTTCATTATCTCTCGTCTTAAAATGGTGTATGATTGTGGTGATGGTGAACTTAAAATCAAATCACGGACTTCTTTGGCGACTGAATGAGGAATGATAGAACATAAGTCTCTATAGAGAATTCCTTCAGATTTGATATTTTGTCTCGTGAAATAATGCTCTAGTTGAGCAAACCATAACTCAGGATCACTACGATCAAATTCTGGAAGTCGAGATTTCGTATTCTTAAAAGTGTCTATCTCCACTGGTGACAAATCCTCCAGGTTTTTGGTTTGTATTGAGTCTGACATGAGATATGTGACCAATATAGCAATAAAATTAGCACGAAAAATGGTTACTACAACACGAATACCTTCAGATAAAAAAAATAAACTATGTAAATACCCAACTTAGTTTACGGATTATCAGAAGGTCTGCTTTTACTACTAAGTCAAAAAAAATGGTATTATTAACAAAAATTAGGTTAAATTGTGCTCAATAGGGCTCACAAGTTTCGGTAACATTTATATATACATATATACATTAAGAATATAAATAAAAGTAATCTATTTGCAATAGCCTAATGAGTAGAAAAATTAGATTTCCTGATGTTTCGTAACTTATTGTAAGTCACTTCTTCAAAGAATAAAAGTTAAGAATAGAAATATTTCTTAAATAGATAGATTGTAAAATCTTAACGAAGAAATTAAAAGTAGATTCAACGTTTCACCTGACAACCTAGTTCAACGATTTTCAAGGAAATACAATCAAATCATATTCGAGAAATTTGATGTTTTGATTATATTTCCTTTAAAAAGCTCGAACTAGATTGCCAGGTGAAATGTTGGGTTTACTTCAAATCCATTTGTTGAGATTTTACAAATACAACATTTTTTCCTCTTTAATATCACACATCAACTCGACATCCAAATAATGCATAGCTATTTCAATCAAATTTAGACGAAAGTTCTTATTTAGAAATATTTCTGTACAACAGGTTGCACAGTATGTTTATTACAATGTAATTAATAAAATGGATCTTGTTATTACTAAAAATGATTCATAATATCGTAGTAAAAATACTTCAGTTAAGACCATGAGTCGATTGAAGCTAGATCACTGTGAAAAACCTGAAAGCACTGGACCGTTTCGTCCTAGTATAGGACTCTTCAGCAGTGCGCGCCCACGACTCGAACATAGGACCTACTGATTTCGCGCGCGAGCAATTAACCCCTAGACAAAAGAGTCGGTCGGCATCCAACGGTGTTAATGTCTAACTTCAACTAATCCACGTAGTTGAGAGATACATCCACCATCCGTGCAGTGCTTCCAGGTTTTTCACGGTGGTCTAGCTTCAATTGACTTATAGTCTCAGCAGTTGAAATCACTAAATTCTCCACAAAACCTACTTCTGAAAATAAAAATATGTTGTTTTCAGTATTTCCGAATCATTTAAAAATTACGTACTTACTTACTTACTTAGCTACTTATTCACTTACTTAAGCCTGTTACCCACGATTGGTCTTCCTCTTTTCCTTTGGCCTTAAAGATGCCAAGTGAGGATTTGTCTTCTGACGCAGTTCGGTGCCTTCCTCAATCT